TAAATAAAATTTCATTTTGGAACATCGGTTCTTAAACAACCGATGTAAACGATAGGCTGGGCGACACTTATGACATCGATTTTATGTGGCACCGATGTAAAAAAAATTAATTTCAAGCATCGGTTAAAGGAACCGATGTGAATACGGTCCAAAACAAAAATTAATTTCAAGCATCAGTTAAATAAACCGATGTGAATGTGGCCCAAAAAATGACGGGCTAAATTAATGTGCATCAGTTTAGAAAAACCGATGTGAATGTGGCCCAAACCGATGTGAATACGGGCTAAATTTGACGCGCGAAACTGGCAAACATAAATCTTAAGCCCAAGCCCGTCCATCTTCTGAAAATCGATTGTATCTCAAAACCCTCCACCAATTTCACAGTTCGTCGCTCTCAAAACCCTCCACCGTCGCCCCTTCACAGTTCGTCGCTTCTCACCAACATCAACGACGCGACTGAGACTAGCGCCGGCAGCCGCAGACCTGAATATTATCGGGAAACAGAGAGCAGAAGCTCTTTCACGGTTCGTCACTTTTCTATTGTTTTAATGCTCGGAAGTAGTGCTCTTATTGTTTTAGTGACATCAACTGTTACTCTGTGCCTTTTCTATTAGAGTCATCTAAATGTTATTAACCAATACCCCTCAATGTTGTTCTGGGAAGACAAGATGCATTGTATTGTTTTTGATTTATTTACAGTGGTACCGATACATATGAGTCTGTGGTCTCAAGATTCCATTGTAGGTTCTTCAAAGCATTAGCTGCAACTTGGGGAAAACCATACAGTAATTATTTGGCTTCTACAAGGACCAGTTAATAAAAAACATAAAACTGTGTGTTTCTATTCCAAAATATGTCAAGATATTATATTGGATTGAATGATTGATCAGATTTATTGATGATATAACTTAATGAAGGTTTTATGAAATGAAGCCAGTGAAATGAAAGTAGCATTGCCTTGAAGCAGGAGTTATACACTGAGAAACTTAAAAGTTTTTCAGTTGTAAAATTGTGTTTCTGTAGATAAAAAAACATACCTAACTGCTTTCAATCCAATTCCTAACAGGTTCGCTTCCTTACAAAAATCTACCACCCTAACATTGATAAGGTATGCTATCCCTAGTTTTGTCACTATTAATTACTCAGAAATAATAAAAGTTAAAACAATCACGAGGTTGTATGTCTTGTGTTTGGTGCCATTGATAAGGTTGATAGACTTACAGTTGGTTTCTTTTTTAGTAAGAAAGAAAGAAAATGAAAAGGAAAAGAGAATCAATTATGTTGAGCATAAGTCTTTGTTTGTGTTGGTTTTGCTGAGCCTGACTGAGATGTTTTTATATGCTGAATTGTGTTCATTTTCAGAGTATTAATATCAGTTTAGAGGCCTTATTAGTGTTAGGTGAGAGTTAGAAAAATTTATGTGCTTTATTTGCCTTTAAATTAAGAACATATTATCTTGGGAAATAATCCGAGCTAAGGGGTATTTCGGGTAATTTAATTTGTAGCTGTAGCAATTCATGGTAAAAAATTGATACTTTTTGTTATCTGGAATATTGTTATGTAGTTATGGATCGTAAATGGATATATGCTCCTCGGACAAGTTTAGAGTATGAAAATGGAGTAAATGAGTTCTTGGAGTTCGCTAGCACGCATGATCCTGACAATAACGGAAAGTTCTTATGTCCGTGCGTGAATTGCCTGAATGAGAGAAGATTAAGTGCTGATCAAATTCGAGAGCATGTGGTTTGCGATGGTTTCAATAAGGGTTATACAAAATGGATATGGCATGGTGAATTTGAAATGCCGAGTGGGCAAAAAAATGAAGAAGTCGATGCGGATATGTATGATCGAGTGGAAGAGATGATTAATGATATTGGAGCTGAAGCCTTTGAGCAAGTATACACAAGCGGAGTGTGTGAGACCTTGTCGACGAATGCAGAAAAGCCTTTGTACAAAGACTGTAAGAACTTTTCACGTTTGTCTGCTGTGTTAAAACTAATCACATTGAAGACCGCAAATGGGTGGAGCGATAAGAGTTTTACGGAGTTGCTTGGCTTGTTAAAAAGTATGCTTCCTGAAGACAATGAACTGCCAAACTCTAACTATAAGGCGAAGAAAATTTTGTGCCCATTGGGTTTGGGGTATAAGAAAATTCACGCATGCCCTAATGACTGTATTTCGTATAGAAATGAGTACAAAAGTTTTTCTGAGTGTCCAATGTGCGGGGTTTTGCGTTACAAAAAGGAAGTTAACACAACGTCCAATGCTCGTAAGCTTACAAATAGGCCACCAGCTTACAAATAAGCTTACAAATAATTCCACGATTCAAACGTCTTTTTTCTAGTGCAAATGAGGCAAAGAATTTGAGATGGCATGCTGATGAGTGGATAGACGATGGTATGCTCCGACACCCTGGTGATTCCCCTCAATGGAAGAAAATAGACCACTTGTTTCCTTCCTGGAAATGAGCCAAGAAACATCAGGCGGTCTTTGTACGGACGGGATGAATCCATACGGTAGCCTAAGCAGCAAGCACAATGCATGGCCAGTTTTATTGGTTGTTTATAATCTTTCTCCCTTATTGTATATGAAGCGCAAGTACATCATGTTGTCTATGATGATCTCGGGGCCGAAATAGCCGGGAAATGACATAGACGTTTATCTGCAACCATTGATTGAAGATTTGAAGATGTTATGAGGGGAAGGCGTTGATGTATTTGATGCATACAAACAAGAATCATTTAAGATGCGTGCTATGATTTTTTGCACGATAAATGATTTTCCTGCTTGGAAATTTGTCCGGTTATAGTGTTAAAGGGCATAAAGCATGCCCAATATGTGAAGACGGCACTTGCTTCCATCATCTCGAACATGGGAGGAAGACGGTGTACCTTGGTAGTCGAAAGTTTTTGAAGCCGGACCACCTACATCGTCGATTGAGAAAAGCATTTAATGGCCGTACCAAGTATGAAAGTGCTCCAGATGCGTTAAATGGCGAACAAGTCTTTGATAGAGTTAAAAATCTCAATGTTAGGTACGGTAAAACACAAAAGCCAGCCGAGAGAAGCATATGGAAAAAGAGATCTATCTTTTTTGATCTCCCTTATTGGGACAAGCTCGACGTACGTCATTGTATCGATGTGATGCACGTGGAAAAAAATGTGAGCGATAGTCTAATAGGCACACTTCTTAATATACAAGGCAAGACAAAGGATACAGTGAATGCTCGAAAAGATATGATCTCTATGGGAATACGAGGGGAGTTGGCTTCGATGCCTCAAGGTAGGAGAACTTATCTACCTCCAGCATGTCACACACTATCAAAGAAGGAGAAACAAAGTTTTTGTGAGTGCTTACGCGGAGTGAAGGTGCCCCAAGGATATTCCTCCAATGTAAAGCAGTTGGTGTTGATAAAAGAATTAAAGCTGCTTGGGTTGAAGTCTCACGATCATCATACACTAGTCCAACAACTACTTCCCGTGGCTATTAAAGGTATATTGCCAAAAAAAAGTAAGATGCACTATAAGTAGATTGTGTTTCTTCTTCACATCTATTTGTAGCAAGGTCATTGACCCTCGTGTGCTGGATGATTTGGAGAATGATGATGCAATTATCTTGTCTCAACTCGAGATGTACTTTCCCTCTGCTTTTCTTGATGTTATGGTACATCTAATCGTTCATCTAGTGCGAGAGATACGGTTATGCGGCCCTGTGCATTTGCGATGGATGTATCCATTTGAACGATACATGAAAATTTTGAAGGCTTATGTGAAGAACCCGCACCGACCTGAGGCATCCATTGTTGAAAGATATGTTGCGGAAGAGGCTGTAGAATTTTGTAATGAATATTTATCACAATCAAAATCTGTTGGAATCCCTAGTGCTCGCCACAAAATAAAGGGGTCCGGTAAAGGGACTATTGGGGGACAACTTAAGAGTGTTGATCGTGAAGAAATGACACAGGCATATACATATGTTCTCAATAATACTCCTGAAGTGCATCCTTACATAGTTGCACATAAGGCACTAGTGAAGCGACAAAATCCCCGAAAACCTGAAAGGTGGCTTGTGCAAGAGCATAACAGGACATTCTTAACGTGGTTTAAGAATCAGGTTTTAAATGATGCTACTGCTTCAGACACAATCATGTGGTTAGCTGGTGGTCCTAATTTTGATGTTAGATGTTGGCGTGGATATGACATCAATGGGTACTCTTTCTGCACGAAAGAAAGAGATGATAAGAGTACTACGCAAAATAGTAGTGTTTCTGTTGTGGCTGAGTCAATGCATTTCTCTAATTCAAAAGACAACAATCCACTGTTGGCCGCTAGTTCTTATTACGGGGTTATTGATGAGATATGGGAAATTAGTTATATTAAGTTTACCGTGCCCGTTTTTAAATGTAAATGGGTTGATGGTAATAATGGCGTGAGGGTAGACGAGTTGGGAGTCATATTGGTTGATTTCAGGAGAGAAGGTTACAAAAATGAACCATTTGTTATGGCATGTCAAGCAAAACAAGTCTTTTATGTTGCTGATCCGAGTGACCAACATTGGTCGGTGGTACTCCAGGGTAAACGACAACGTCTTGATGATACAGATGAGCCAAGTCTTGATATGTATGAATTTCCTTCATTATCAACAAGGTTGTCCGTAATAAATGAAGAAGATGAAGCAGATGATGTCCATGCCACACGAGACGATCATCATGAAGGCATTTGGAAAAACACACCCATGAATGCATAATATAGTACGTAAGTACATAATATTCATACCTGATATATATTAATATTTGTTCAAAGGATAAAAACCACTAAAATAACCATTTTCATCCACATTATTCATTGTTCATCTTGCTTTGCTAAGATTTCTGTCCCTTTTATATATTTCAATTAATCTATTTTGGTTAGGATAGTTCTAAAATTTTCTGCACAAATGATTAAAAATCTGTTGCACCTTTGTTATTATGTTGTTTAATGAACACTGCTTCTTTTTTAGGAATGGATGATCTTTCTGAAAATAGTGCTCAAGATGGCTTAGACAAGGAAACTCACGCCAAAAAAGGTCGGGGAGCGACATGGATGAAAGACATACAAACATCAGACGGAGAGAAGAAACATGTTACATTCAATCGTTATTTTCAGGCAAACGGGCCAGACCCAAAAACTAAGAGCAAGTTTAATAGCTACATCGCCGTTCTAGGACGAAGCAAAGTCAGCATCTTGATACCGGACTGGAGAAAAGTGACTGATAGGAATAAGGAGCAAATTTGTCAAGCTTTATTGGTATGATTTATCTATTTTATGAAAACACAATAGTTGGTAATTGAATGCTTCAATGATTTATTGTGATAAAGTTGTACAAGTTATGTGAATAAATGTTTAATGACTAAATGTTAATTATTTTTTTGATGAATCTTTATATTTTTCAGGAGCAGTATGATGTGCCAGATAATGAGAAATTGAAAAAGAAAGTGTTTTCACGTGCTGGGGATGCTTGGAGGGGTTTCACAACTAAACTCAGTGATTACATATTTGTAGAGAAGATAGGTTTGCTCCCGTATGACGATGGTTACCCTTTTCTGGATGCGGACACTTGGAAGGCTTTTGTTGCATCCCGTCAAACTCCTGATTTCTTGGTAAGTTAATTACTATCATGAACATATATAATTTCGAGTCTCTCGTACGTTTGGCCATACAATTAAAGTTAAATTGTTTGGGAAAATTTAAAATCAAAAGTGCGTGTAACTATTGTTTCTATTAACTTGTTTGATCTTTATGTAAGAATTGTTTGAGAGAAAAGAAATGATAAGTGGATATTTGAGATGTTGAGCTGTTTTTCTTGATTGTGTTTTTTAATCTATATGTATGTAGAAAATCAGAAAAAAGGCTCAGGAGTCGCAATCATATAATCTAAGTCCGCACATATTATCTCGTGGAGGCTACGATTTTATGATACAGAAGATTATGGATGAGAAATATAGGACAAGAAAAGAGGCCTCCACTGATCCGTCCGAAATTATTCCACCCCCGTCTCCTCCTTCTCGTCATGAATTATGGAAGAGAGCTCGTATAACAAAGAAAGGAGATTATGTTTCAAAGGAAGCCAAAATTGTTGCTGACAAAATCGTAAGTGATGGTTTTTTATATTTGAAGTTCTTCGTACATTCATGAATGGATAAAAACTCTGTAAATTCTTCTAACCTTTTATGCAGGATTCTTTAGAAAAAAATGCACTTAGAGCAGTTTCAAACCTGTTGGGAGAAACGATATACTCGCAACAGCGTTAGGAAAGCCGGAGCATCCTGGACGTGTGAGGGGAGTGTGGAAAGGTGTTGGGATCAAGGACTTCTTTGGGCCGTCGAGCTATTCAGGTGTAGGGAAAGATATGGTCTCGCGAGATGAGATGGAAACTATCATCAGTCGCAGGATTGACCAAATGAAAGACAAAATGAAAAATGAAATAATGATGATGATCGGCAAAAGCTCTTCGATTGCCCCCAGTCCTAATTCTCCGAGGATCCAAAGCACTACAGAGAGTTGTGCTCCAAATGTGTTCTCATTGGATGAACATAACGAGGATAAAGAATGTGAGTTGTATGTGGAGAACCCACAAAGAATTTTGGTTGCATACGGACGCATCCATAATCTTGGGCCGACCATTCACAACAAGAAGATGAATGAGGATGAAGTTAGGGTTGTCGTGTCACGTGTAATCGTTGGAGATGCGCCCGTGCCATGCCCGACAGAGGAGGTCACTACCGTAGAAGAAGCGCCAAATAACTTCATTACTTGGCCTCGTAGGTTGGTTAAAGGTGCAAATGCTAAGGTAATTAAAATAACTTATAATAGTATCTTTCATTACTCTATAGTCTTGAATGGTTTTTCAGTTCCTACGAGTTATCTAGAATAAAATAAATCATTTTATGAGTAATCTTATGAATTTACATTCTCTTGGCAATTTTATATGAATAAATTTCTCATTCGTAGGATAAATTTCAGTCGAAGCCAGTGACACCAAAACCGATTATCGAACCTGAAACAGATGTCGTGACAACTTTGTGGATGGCGTCACGTTATATAAAAAATCCAATTTGCATAAACATGTCGGCTGAGATATTTGGAGAGAAAAGAGATTTTTACATATTTCAGAAGGATATAATGGAGTTGTTGCAAAGTCAAAAACTTTGCATTTCTATCATTGAATTCTTCAACATGTAAGTATTTCTCAACATTTTTTGTCTGCTTTTTATCTGCAATTTGAGGTAATAATTTTATATTTTAAATTCTTAATTCAATAACTTTAATAGTTTAGTATTATATATACATTATCCACTATATTTGTTTCTAAAAATTATTTATTTTCTGAGTTACCACAGGTATCTCTATAATGTGCTGAAAGAATCCGAGAAAGAAAAAAAGTTTGAATTTTTGTGCCCGCTCAAAATTCAAACAAGAGGTAATAGTAAGGAAGAGATAGAAGGGTATATTGCGAGAAGAATGGAAAAAGAAAATTACGAGTGTATCTTTGCACCGTACTTTAGCGAGTAAGAATATAAAACATATAAAATTCACTTTATTTGCTTTATTTTATTTTAATTAACATTATATAGAGGTACAAATTAAAAAGTGTACCAATTAAATACATTTATCTTCTGGATTGACAGAGAACATTGGCAGTTGATGATACTTTGTCCCAAACAAAATAAAGTGGTTTGGTTGTGCTCGTTGAGAAAAGATCCCAACACAGAGTTGGTAAACAAGATTAACAGGTATGTTTTTAAATTGATAAATTAGATTGATTTTGTAGTTAACTTTTCTTTGCTAAATGTATTTGAAATATATTATCTTTTACATTTTGGCTTATTTTTTCTTTCAAGTAATATGAATATTTATTATGTTGCAGTGTATTTCGTACGTACTTCATGGTTAAGGGAAAACGTAACATGAAGCCTAAATGGGTTCCACTTAAGGTAAATTTCTTGAATGATGTTAGGTGTTTTGATTTTGGAGATTTTTATTATTTCCTTGGTTTTATGCATCGATTTAGTTTGTGTAGTATAATGATGTTTTTATGTTTTTCATACAAGTGTCGAAAACATTTGGGAAATACAGAATGTGGATATTTTGTTATGAGGTATATGCTCGAGATTATATCACTTGACATTATCGACTCGTTCGAAGAGGTAAGTTTTTTATTAAAATCATCCTTTTGTTGTATTTGAAATTGCACAATTCAATACAGGTTATAGTGATAATATTTGTTTGTATCATGTAGGCTTTCAACATTGATGAGCCATACTCGGGCGAGGACATTGAAAATATAAAAATGCGGTGGTCGAAGTACTTTCTTGAGGTTACTTCATTAGGAAAATATACTTATCAGTTTGCTTACGTTTTATGGAATCTGAACTTTATAACTGTGGTTGATGACTATTGTTGGTGTAGTGCATATGAAAATTATTGTTATAACTTGGCGTTGTTGAAATATTTTGGTTTTTAGTATTTGTCATGTGGGTTTTTGTTGACTTGTGAGAATATTTTGAATGTATGAATGTTATTATTTTGCAGTAATAGATTTTTAGATTTATAGGTAAAAATTGTGTATTTAAATAAAATCGTTGTAAATGCTCGGTTATTATAAAGCCGATGCAAAAAGACTATTTTTACAAAAATGTTTGACGTCGGTTTTCATAGTAACCGATGTGAATACGACTTGTATGACATCGGTTATTTTGGTAACCGATGTTATACGTCTTTATTTACATCGGTTTTGTCGATAACCGATGTATTTACAACCTTTGCACATCGGTTTGTATAAAAACTGATGTTAAATGTCTTACTTTACATCAGTTGTATAAAAACCGATGTTAATATAATCGATTTTTTCCATTTTCGAGACCTATTTTTTCCCTTATAACATTGGTTATTTAGAAAAACCGATGTAAACAAGTTTTTTTTCACATCGGTTTGTAACCGATGTAAAAAGACAGACTTTTAACATCGCCTGTTTCAACATCGGTTCTAAAAATGGGTTTTAACCGATGTGAAGATGATTTTTAACCGATGTAAAAAGTGTTTTTTCCACTAGTGATGGCTTCGAATAGCTACCAATGGCCGGTTGAGAGAACTATGCTTGGGAGGGTCGCGGTGACTAATGAGATGGACTCAGCGTCATCTATTGCGGCTAATGTAGTAGCATTGTTGATGAATAACTTGCAAGGAATAAAGGCTGAGAGCGTAGGAGTTAGAGAACCGGTCGAGGACGTGAATTATGTGAATAATCAGAATTTTGGAAATTTTCGAGGGCCTCAAGAGGGCAACACTTATTATTACCAAGGCAACCGGAATCAATCCAATCTCTCGTATGCAAATCCGAATAATGCTCTACAGCAACTCACGGGATTTTCGGTGACTAATGGGGCCATCAACGTGAGGTTAAGGATATGGCAAGTTATTATAATATTTATGAATTGTTTACTCGTTTGGTATTTGAGTCATTAATTAACAAATAAAAAGTTTAGATAATAAAAAATACATAATTTTACCACATTGGCATTTTGAACCCCTTTGTAATAAAAATGTTAAATAATATACTAAATTTAATGATAGTTTAATTCACCACGCAATTTTCCCAAGTAGCCAAAATGACAGACTATTTTAAAATTTCCATATATTTTATGTATTCTCAATAGTCAATACCAACATGAATAAATATGTACGTGACATTTGTACTATGCACTAAAAACTTTGGCATAGAGCTTAGAAAAGTCATTTAAGATCCAAATATACATATATAAAATAGACTTCGAAAAGTCATAGAGCTTCTAATGGACAAGGCACATGATGAGCTATGAGATGAGAGTCTATACGTACCTATCTGATATACATTTAATATCAATAAAATTGACTCCTTAGACGTTCTGAGCCACTAGGATATAAAGGAGGCGGTCATCATCAGGACTAAAAAGTGTAAGTATGGAATTTGAGTATTAAAAAAAAAAAAAATTAAATAAAATTGACACCTAAACTAACTTAGCCAAACAAAAAGTTAAAGTGCATGCCAACACTCCTCTATATAAACCTAACCTTCCTAAGCACCATTTACACCATCATCATCAATACCTTTAAGCAGTTTTATTGCTATCTTTCTATATTTTGAGCCTAATGGCAATCCCTAAAAGCATTGTGCTTTGTGTGCTAACACTTGCCACAATAAGCTGGGCAAGAAAAGTTGATTTTGTAGAGAATGTGAAATCACGATGTGGGCTCACCAGGTATCCAGCTTTGTGTGCTCAAACCCTGACACGACAAGGATTAGCTCCAAATGTCCATATGTTGTCTGCCCTTATAAACAAAACTCTATCCGAATCCAAGCTGCCCAATTCTAATTTTGAGGCGCTTAGTTCCCATTTTATCTCTCCTGAAGCACAACAAGCCCGGTTGGCCATCGGTATTATACTCATGCAACTTTTTTTACCATACCTCTAATTTGTAATTTCTTTCGCATGTGTGACTCCAAATTTTGTCTCCTTCACCCTTCCTTAATTTGGTTATCATTTGATTCTGCCAGCTAATTAATCTTTTTTTTTTCGGTACAAGCTGCCAGCTAATCTTTATTTTTTATTAAAATAAATAAATTATAATGCCAAATCATCTATTAATTCAAGTGTTATAATTGCCTTCAAAATATTAACCGTTTATTAATATGATCTCACCTAATTAATAAGATTGCTATCGTTTTTTTGTTTTTTAATTTAGACTTTCACCAAAATACGGTATACATCTATTAAATTGCACCTTTTTCTCATTTTAATTTCCATCACATCATAAATACATTTTTTATTAATTATTAATTATTGTCCTATACATTTACACTTGGCATGCAAAAATGTAGACGACTGCCACGATCTCATGGGCATGTCGGTGAGAAGACTGAACCAGGCCGTGCAAGCACTAGAGACAACAAAATCACCGGAGAAACACAAAGAAGACATCCAGACATGGCTGAGCGCCGCCATAACATTCCAGCAGGCCTGCAAGGATTCAGTCGAGGGACACGTGGCATCAACGGCCGAGATTCACAGGAAAATGGACCATCTTTCGGAGCTCGTCAGCAACCCGTTGGCCCTCACAAACCGGATCACAAAAGACCCGACTGCAAAATTATTTCCCAAGGGTCGCGGTCTTGTTGACTCAAACAGCTTCCCAGGTTGGGTCTCTGGGCCCGTCCGGAAACTGCTGCAGTCAACCGAAATAAGAGCAAATGCTGTGGTGGCTAAGGATGGGAGCGGAGACTACACTACGGTGACGGAGGCTATACGGGCTGCGTTTGGGGCCCGGTTTGTGATATATGTGAAATCCGGGACGTATAACGAGAGGATCAACAGTAATAAGGATGGGATTATGTTGATTGGCGATGGGAAATACTCGACGATTATTACTGGGAGTGGGAGTGTGGCCAAAGGCTCCACTCTTCGGGGGTCTGCAACTTTCAGTGAGTCATCATCATAATTCATATCCTCCCTCTATCTCTCTCTTTCTATAATTGCATGTATGTCTTTGTAAAGTAAATAGCTTATGTGGCCCAAAATTGACTTTATTGATAAAGACTAAACTACAATAAAATATATCAAAATTACACTAATAATTATAAAAGAATGATACCGGCCGTATGCCTTTTCAAGTAAAAAAGGTTGATTTTGGTGTCACATGAATGCAACTTGCAAAGTCACCTTCTTCAATATTACCACCTTCTCAATCATACCACACATAACCCACGTGACATTTAAGGGCGCTGAGTATCATAATAATAAAATGGCAAATTTTCTCCTAATATCACGACATTTATCTATTTTGCAATTTAATTATGATATTTTCACTGTTGTAACTTGTATCACAATCTTTGGTTTGCTGCAAACAGTCTGAAAACAATCATAGAAAAATTGATGTGGTCGAACAACAAACTGAAGACTGTGATATAGTTTGCACGGGATCGGATATGCAAATCGATGCACCAATTTGCAACAAACTGAAGATTGTGATATGATTTGCAAAAGTGAAAAAATCGTGATTAAATTGTAATTTCGAAAATGGTCATGATATTAGAGGCAATTTTTGCCTAATTAAATTTCAAAAAATTGACAAAAACGAATAAACACGAATTCATAGTCGAACTGAAACTTATATCAATGATTCAGCAATCACTGGCGACGGGTTCATCGCCCGCGATATCGGGTTCTCGAACACGGCCGGGCTACACGGGGAGCAAGCAGTGGCCCTGACTGTTTCCTCCGACCGCTCAGTAATGTACCGCTGCAGCATCGCCGGGTACCAAGACACCCTCTACGCCCTCTCCCTCCGCCAGTTCTACCGCGACTGCGACATCTACGGCACAATCGACTTCATCTTCGGTAACGCGGCTGCCGTCCTCCAGAGCTGCAGCATCGTCCTCCGCCAGCCCCGTCCCGGTGGGGCCTACAACGTCGTCCTCGCCAGCGGCCGCACAGACCCTGGCCAGAACACGGGCTTCGCAGTCCACAACTCCCGCATCTCCGGCTCTGGAGGCTCGTTCCTCGGACGCCCGTGGAAGCAGTACGCGCGTGTTGTCGTCATGCAAACGAACATCGATGCTTCCATCTCCGGCCCAGGCTGGGTCCAGTGGCCAGGGGCCGACGCCTCCACGTACCGGACGTTGTATTTTGCCGAGTATGAGAATATGGGACCCGGGGCCAGGCTTTTTGGGCGGGTGGGGTGGCCCGGCTTCAGGGTTATTGGGCCGGCCGAGGCGGAAAAGTTTACGGTGGCAAATTTTATTGGAGGGAATTCGTGGCTGCCGTCCACAGGGGTGACTTTTGTTTCCGGGCTGTGATCCACGGCTGGAATTAGTTTTCCCTTATATATATATATTTTTTTTTTTTTGTCAACTATAAAATTGTGATTTAATTAGCGTTACTTTGTTCTCCGGTACGTGTAATTGTGAATGGAAATGTACATATACATACATAGATGGTTTTTGTGTGTTTCAATCTGAATGATTTATCAATGTTCAGTTCGATGGCACTACTAGGTTTTTAGAATTTTCTTTAGTACTTAAGTAAGCTCCAAGTTATAAATAAGTGGATGCATTAAAATCAATCCTTATTTATATATAAATATAGGGATTGGTTCCAATGCATCCCATTATTTAAAGTGAGGACGTGAGACTCATTCCTAGCCACAAGATTTAGATCTTGATTTAAATAATAATTTTTTATTTTTATTATTTAATTCTTTATTTTTAATTATTTAAATATTATTATGACCGTTGACCGTTGACTTCCGGCGTTGACTTTCGACGAAAATCGTTGACTTCCGGCGTTGACTGTTGACCTTCGGCGTTGACCGTTGACTCCGGCGTTGACTTCCGACGTTGACCGTTGACCATTTGTCTTTTGTTATGTTATTTCTTTCTTGTTAGGTTAGTTGTGTCTTGTTGCTAGGTTAGTTGTTTGCTGTTGCTAGGTTAGTTATTTGTAGCTGTTATGTTAGTTGAGTTTTGTTGCTAGGTTTTTTTTTCTTGCTGCTAGGTTAGTTGTCTTTTGTTGCTAGGTTAGTTCTTTCTTGCTGCTAGGTTAGTTGTCTGATGCTGCTAGGTTAGTTGTCTTTTGTTGCTAGGTTATTTCTTTCTTGCTGCTAGGTTAGTTAATAATTTATGTCGGTTATAACTGGAAAATTAAACCAATTATGTCGAAACCAAAATTTTCTTTGATTTTATTTAGATAACAAAAAAATTCTATTATTATTATTATTATTATTTATTTTTATTATGTAGCGATATTGTAATTTTCAGCCTGTGATTTCTCATACATTGTGAATTTGGCCCAAAGACTAAATTGAGATATAATTAAATTAATTACAAATGTACCCATGAACTCAATTGCAATTTGTTAAAATTAATGATATTGAAATTAAGCCCCTACGTGTTTTCAAATTTATAAACTAAAGTCCTTGGGCATCCAACCAAATCTGAAAAACGATTCACGCACAGGCTCGGACTTCGGTCGTCTCTTCCGGCCTCCGCCGCCGTCGGCCCCTGCCTGACGACCCGACGCGGACACCTACCTCCGTTGGACTCTCGCCTGAAGTTGCAGATCGTCGTGGCCACCGTCCGCCCTGTCCCGTCTTCACAACCCTGCCCCCGCCACAATCCACCGTCGACGCCATCCAGTGATCGCCGCGACGAAATTCACGGCCACAGTCCACCGTCGATCGCCGTCCAACAAAATCTGAAAAATGGCCGGAAGTGACGGCCGTCGGCAGAGGGCGGCGGCACTCGGCGGAGCGATAGCTGCAATTAATGTACGAGGATTGGCCGACTGTGATGAGCTGCCGGAAGGGGAGGGTCGGGGAGAGAGAGGAGAGAGAAGAGAGTGGTTGTTGGGTCTGTTCAGATTTATGGAGGTGTGAGGAGAGAGAACGAGACTGAGGAAAGAGAAAGGAGGGTGAGGAGAGAGAGATAGAGGAGAGAGAAAAGGTGGGGTGAAGTTGTTTAATGAGTGGGTCCCATTTAATTTATGTGTTGACCAATTTACCCTTAATTATTGGTTAAATACATATATTTGACCACAATATTATCAAATAATTACTGAATTGTCATTAATGATTGACTTAGTTTGACTTCATCATAACCATTGATATGCTTGATCCCATGGTCTAGACTTATTCTCATTTTTCGCATTAAGAGTCATTCTCATATGATCCTTTATATATATATATTTATAGGGGATGGATCCAATGAGACCACTCCTTAAAATGAGTACGTGAGACTCAATCTTAGCCATTCATTTTGTCTAGATCAAAATCAATTAAAATATACATTAATTAAATAATAAAATAGTTGACCGTTGACTCCGGCGTTGACCGTTGACTTTAGTAGTAATATATACAATTATGCTATCAATTTCTCGAATTATTTAACTTAATACGATGTTTATCAGATGATTACTTTATTATTATTAAAAAAAACTTTTTGTAAATATCTTACATAAAATTTAATTAAACTCAATTAAAAAATATTTTATTCTCAAATCTTATATAGCTGGTGTTATCTTTTACCAGTGTCATTTTTTATTGTTCAAAAATAAATACTAATGCTTATAATTATAAAATAATTGATGTAGGGAAGCGTACGAGTGAGACGATATTAATGAGATCGCAATCTCAAAAACTCCAAAACACGATAAACACTCAATTTCATATTTCATTCAATAATCAACTCTCCTAATAACAAAGCATAAAAGCCCTTTAAATAAGACTCTTAAACTAAACCCTATATTATTCTCCAAGCTAACTAATAATAATAATAATAATAATAATAATAATAATAATAATAATAATAATAATAACAATAATTCTGCATCATTCTCCCCCGGTTGAGCAGGATTCACCCTCGAATCCTACACGTTCCTGTTGGAGAGGTCCCCATGATAGGAATAGCCCGGGCGTTCCCCCGATCGAACACGAAGGTTGAAGGTCGCCCAACAACTCCGAAGGTAAACCTAATCTTGGGCAAGTACTGATTTTCTGGAAAGGCACATGTACACACCTCCATACGCATAACCTGCACAACTGAAGTAACACAAAACATATCATATCGTTCGCCGCGCTCAAAACCATAACTACGACCAAGCATCCCGTTGTTGGGAGACTTCACGATAGACAATCGTAAAATGGTCCACCAGTTATTGAGCCTCGGCTTCGGTTCCGAAAAACCATCATTGGCCAAGATAGTCCAAACATCGGGTTTGAACGACGGCATCCCCGTCAAAGGCTCAACTTCTGCAACGTGCCACGCGGGACCCATATTGCCGTAAAAATATGTCTCCGTCACTGGATGCTCCTCATCGAAAATAGGCGGACCGACGTACAATAGCCCGTCATCTTCCTCAAAATTGCACTCTGTTGCCGCACATCTTGATCGTCGTGCGCAACAACGAGCTTAGTCTCGACGGGCGGAGGCGGCCACTTTTCAAAGGGATCCACCTCCAAGATGGTCTCCTCGCCGTCTGCATCGCCGGGCGGCGGTTGTGGAGATCGCCGACGGGGCACTCCGCCTGGACCACGACCTCCACTTCCTCCGTGAACTACCCCGTGCACACCTCGGTCACCGGCGGCACGGTTCATCTGCAAATCCTAGACCACGTTGTTAAGCGTCAAACGCAAATCCTCGATCCCCGTCGAAAGATCTGCAAATCAATCCGTGAAACGCACGTCCGACTGTTGAAATCGATAGCCGATCTGTTGAAACCGATCGTTGAAGGTTGCATCACGTCGTTTGTTTCCGGCATCTTGTAGTCCCGTCGATATCGCGAATCGTACGCTCTGATACCAACTGATGTAGGGAAGCGTAAGAGTGGGACAATATTAATGAGATCGCAATCTCAAGAACACCAAAACACGATAAACACTCAATTTCATATTTAATTCAATAATCAACTCCCTTAATAACAAAGCACAAGAGCCTTTTAAATAAGACTTTTAAACTAAACCTAGCTTATTCTCCAAGCTAACTAATAATAATAATAATAATAATAATAATAATAATAATAATAATAATAATAATAATAATAATAATAATA